AACATTTGCAAAACATTACCAGAATAATGAATGTTGAGAAAAGTAAAAGAATGCTGGCAAAAGTGCCTGACTACTCAGACCCAGAAGATGACCTGTTCGGTGCTTACTCTATCTTCCTAGCTGGAACCTGGGACAAATGAAAAGGATGTGACATTTCATGGCGACATGGCTGTAGGGACTGACTGTCATCAGCTAACACATTTTGCAAGCATGAGCACCTGGTATTGACAAGATTATGTGACACTTTAAAATTCATTAATCAAAATGTGTTAACTGGAAAGTCTTAAAAAAAAAACACCTAAAACACAAACCCTCTTAGTATATGTCCCAGTTTTCATAGAACAGAATATTCCATTTCATGCTGAGGGAAAATTCTTCTATGTTGATGACTTACTATTGATGAATATTTTAAAAAAGAAATATCAAAGCTTCTGTAAAAAATCATCTTTTTCTTTGGTAATAGATAGTGCCAAAATAATGCCATTTTGTGTATATAGACTGCATTTTGCTTAAATAAGCTGGACACCTGCTATCTTTTCTCTCCTTCTTCCGCAGCCTACCCATGTAATGAGCAATACAAAGATATGTAATTTCAATCAGACCTTTATTTACTCTTGAATGGATACTGCAAATAAATAGTTAATTACAAAAGAAACTAAAAATAAAAGACATAATCAATACTGTAACAAGCAAAAGGAATTGCAGATGCAGAATTTTATTAGGAAAAAGTTAAGCAGAAGTCAGTTTTACTTTGATATAACAAAGGTATTAATTGCAGTTGCTTGGATACTAATAATAATTGGTAAACAAAAACCCAATTTGAAAAAAGTTCAGCACAAATAAGTTGGAAACTGAAGAGCGAAGAAGCGTCATGCAATTTATAGGACTTGTCTTAGGACAAGTCCAGCCAATTCATGAACAAGATGTTACTCATCCTATATGTTTATGTATTATTCTGTTACTGGGGGGGGGGGGGGGTGTGTGTTTATTTTTTTTAATTCAATTCTGGGCACGTGTAGAGTATCCTCCCCTGTGATTTAAATGTTACTTATTATTCCTGCCTGTCTACCTGCACTTTTAATGTAATACTGGAGAGTCCCAAAGATGGGAACTTGTTCCATTTTGTATAGAGCATCATTGCAAACATCCTGGGGTTTATAGATCAAGGTATTCAACCACTGGCTGGTGATTTCTCTGGCCTGTTATCAGGTGCTTTCCTTCCTAGAAGGCTGTTGGCATCAAAGGATGGGTCAGACATGTTGCTTTGACAGTATTCTCCTGCTTGTGGTCTTTTCCTTTTCCAAGGGCTTTATGGTTCCTCCTCATCTTTTGATGGGCAATCACATGGTAAAAGAAGAGCTATGGGGCTCCCAGGAAAGTCAGCAGGCAGGAGTGTGGCTCTCACTGCTGAAACAATTCATCCTGCTCCCTGTCCAGATACTCATGAATTGCTCTGGTGATTGCAACCTGCTGCCAGCTTCTTCCTTCCCAAAAGGTCCTCAGGGGCTGGTACATAGGCAGGCCATGTCTGCATGCATGTCTGCGTGTCTGTGTGTGCTGCAGTTGATTTACAGGTGTGTAGTAGATCCAACACTTTGGGAAAGAATCTCAACTGTGTGTGGGCAGGTGGATGTACAGTGCTTTCACAGTAGCTATGGGCATGATCCAGAGGTGGAATCACAGCATGTGCTTTTCTTCCAGCCTCTCAAAACAGGTAGGTCATCCAACCAGCTGGAAGGCTAGGGCACTCCTAGTGTAGGGTTTCCTTTTTACTTTCATTAAAACAGAAAACATGCCAAAACAATTAAGAACTCCTTAAGTAAGGGAACATTAAAGCTTTCAGCATTAATTAAGCACTCAGAAGATGGGATAAGACAATTAATTAATCATACATATGCAACTCTGCTTCCTGTTGCACTGGAAAAATTGTTTTCCTTTAACTTAAATTATTATACACTAATTGCTTAATGTATTATAGTGTTTTTTTCTTATGTGTTTAGATAATCACTTTTAGCAACAAGTGATAGATACTAAATTAGAATTTCGCATAGAACCTTATACTCAGCATATTAGATATGGTGGATGGGATGAAAAACAAATTAAATCTTGTGAAAAGTTACACAAGCTGACCTTAATGGATGGTGACAGTGTCACTGTGCTTATCGACTGGTCACAGTGTGGCCAGGTAAGCACATTTATTATTATCTGAGCCTGCTCAATATTTTCTTTGTATTGAAAAATAGGAAACAATTTGCTATATAAAATGGTATCGTAAAGGTCTATTAGGGCTGCATGAATAAAAACAGCAACTGACTTTCAACTCCTACATAGCCTTTATTTAAAATACTTGTTATTATCTTGGATAAAATAGAATAGAATAGAATAGAATACTTTAGTTCCAGGTGGAAGTGACCTACAATGATCATCTAGTCCAACTTCCTGAGCACTTCAGGGCTGACCAAAAGTTAAAGCATGTTGTTAAGGGCATTGTCCAAATGCCTTTTAAACACTGACAGGCTTGGGGCATCGACCAACTCTCTAGGAAGCCTGTTCCAGTGTTTGATCACCCTCTTGGTATAGATCCCTGCTGGTGGCAAACTTACCTGACATATCATCAAAAAATAAAAATCTTGATAAATCCTGCATATCCTGGGAGACCCTTCCTATTGAATCAACAAAGGCACGTGGTATTTCTAGTGCTGTAGAAAGACCCATACAGACCAGTTTCTGAGGCTGTAGAAAGCCTTGTTCATAAGAACATAATCACATAAATTCTACCCACAGACAACTTTTTTAAAGCATTTTAGTTTTGAGCTGTTGTCATTAAGATTTGGGAGTCATCGACATTGACATTTATACTTGTTTGTGCTGGAGAACTGTTGAACTCAGGAACATAACATCCAGTGAACCATCACATGAAGTAATGGTTTATCTGTGTCACTAAATTTTTAAGTAAAGCACAGCAGTACGTTAAAAAACTTTTGGCTTTTCTCTGTTATCCAGAATAAGTTGTATAAAATATGAATGCTCATATTCATCATTGTTCTGCTACTCTACAATATTAAGGTATTTTATATTGCATCATAGCTGATCGTGATAGTAGCCACTATATGAGCACGTGAACTCCAACTTTTTGGAGCCATCCTGATTCTGCAAAGAATTATGCATGCACATAGCTTTATGTTGTTTACATAATCCACTGGATGTGAATAGCACGATTTTCCATAAGATAAAGGAAGGTGAAGAAGTAGTAATAGAGTACTAAACTAAGGTAAATAAGCATTTTGTGTTTCTAGCTAGTATCTCACAGTACAGTCATCTTAAAAAAATAAAGAATATTCCATCAGTTTCCTGGACCCGACTTTTTTTAACGTACTGACTGATACTTTGCTGAGAGAACAGCCCGTTGGGTGGCTGAGTTATCATCTTATTTAATTCAGTGCCATTTGGAACAGGACACGTTGTCTTTGTGGGGTGACTGAAAGTAAAAGCTGGCTATTTTGTGGCTACTGAAGGAAATTGGTATTCCTGCTCTTCGCAGCCTGTTGGTATCAGTAGTTTTTCCTTCAGCTTAAACACCTTTGATCAAGGGCTTGACATGGAGTGAAGCATTTACACTGGAACCAGTGGAGCTCTGTGCATGAGCGTACCTCAGGAGGGGATGTTTTTTCTTCAACAGTTCACTTTTTGGGGAATGTGACCATGGTCACGCAAGGGATGTGTTTCCCTCGCAGATGCTGAGGGTGCTCTGCCCGGGTGGCAGCTGGAGAGGTCACAGTCTGGGTAACTTGTCTTATTGTGTGATTGTGTGACACGGCTCTAACTTATTTGTTAATGACACCAAAAGCCAGATGCATCAAATAAATGAATTATTTCTAATAAGTTGTGTTGTATTTATTGCACAGTGAGATATCAGAGGAGTTGTTTCTTTTTAAAATATCAGAACCTTGTCACAAAAAGCTTCAAATGACTTAGATTGGTATTTTTTTTTAATAAGGCACTCAGTAACCTATTCAATACTGTCTCATTCATCAAGTGATCTCTTCAGGGAAAAACATCCTGTCAGGTGCAGCAGACAAAGCTATGAGCAGCATCAGTACTGTTAATGACTCAGAGAATTACTGCAAGGATTGTAAAATGATACATTATTATCTAGCAGGCATTGATTGTAATTGTATCACTGATAAAGACAAAACATATCAAATGTTGTGTTTTAAATATGCCCTTCAACGAAAGAAAAGAAAAAAGCCATTGAAATAATTTCAGTGATAGCTGTGTGATCCTTCTGAATGCAAAATGGAAATGTTTTGCATATCCTCAGGATGAAAGGAGTTATCATTCTAAGCTATTGGCTTATTGATTTTCATTTAATACTCATGGTATATCAGACATTATAGATCTTTCACCATTTTGCTTTATGACACTGCAGAACCCTGATAACTATTCTCTGTGTAAAATGTAATTCCCTGGTTTACTTGCCTACTTGGATTGAACTGCACAATCTTAATTTGCTGTCATGGTTTCCATGATCCTTTGCTCGTGTCGTATTGTTGTTACAATGAACACATTGCGCATACAGCATAGCCTTCATCTTCTTCAGGCACAGTACAGACCCTTTCATCCTTGCAAAATGGATAATTAAACTAGGATTTTCATACTTGTATTTGCTTTTGGGTTTATTAGCTCTAACGGTGAAAATGAAATAAATTATTTTGTATGCTCCATCTGACTAGCTCTTGAAAAAACGGACCAGAGTTTTCCATGTATCTGTTCTGTGGCTTTAAGCTGTCTCAAAACAGCACTGTTATAGAAATGGACTGTACTCTGCTGATTGAGTAGGTGGCATTTTTATCGTTACCAGCTTGAGGTTTGCATAAGAACTGCAAGTGTGACACAAAACTAGGGAAGCTGATTGTCACTACTAAGGTCCTATGGTGTAATGTAATTCTTCTGTTGTACCTGTCTCTCCTGAATTTGTGGGGTTTTTTTTGTTTCTGCAGACTCCAGAGGAAGGAGCCTCAACAACCATCTATGCAGCAGTATCACCAGAGATGGAAGGAGCTGGCGGCTGCTATCTTTACAATGAGGAAAGGACAAAATCGGCTGACGTAGCATATGATGAGGAGCTGCAGAGAAGGCTCTGGACAGAAAGCTGCAAGATGGTTGGGATTTCTGATGAATCCAGCAGAGTTTCTTAGAAGAAACCACCACTTCCAGCTTGGTAAATGAAATGCATTGACAGGCATCCTAGGTGAATTCTTGCAGCATCAGTCATCATCCTGGAAATCACTGTTCAGTCCCAAAGGCAAACATGAACAGCTCTGTTCTTCACTTGAACCCCTAGTCTGCTAGGGTGTGGGGGGAATATTCCCACAGAAAGATGTAGTGGTTGGTTTTAAATCTAACCATCAGTTTTGTAAATCATGATGTTTCAGTCTGTGATTAAAATACAATCTTTAACCTTGTGCAGAGTTGAGTTTTCATTTTTTGTTCAACAAAACAAAAAGGCTTTCACTGGTAAGCATGTTGAACTTAAGCCACCTTTGTACATATAACTTAATCTTTTAAAATCAGTTTTAAAAGTTGCAGCTTTTTTTCCTTAAGCTTCATTAATCTTTAAGGCACTTTATAATGAATGTCAGCTTGTTCTAATGCAGACATTTGGCATTCATGATCATTATGTTGTTTCTATCATAACGTTAGTTTTATATGTCAACTTTTATCCAGAGGTATTAACTGAAGGTCAGAACCCCAAAAAAGTAAATAAATAAGATCTTTGGACAGGATATTGAATTCAGTTGTTTTCAGTTTGAGTTCAGCTCTCCTTTAAAGGTGAGCCATAAGAACGAGGAAGGATTCAAACATAATAGTGGTGACACTGGTTTTGGCAGAGGATGCAGTCAGCCTGTTGTCTTGGCAGTGGGCTGAGATTACTTGTCCCTTTTCTGCTGAAATGCGTCCACAACTTCTTGCATTTTCTTTGGCAAGGAGATTCATTCACCTACTGCCTTTTGCATGAAGAATCACCTCCTTTCATTGGTTTTGAACCTAATTCATATGAGTTTCAAAACAAGAGGTCATGATTTGGAATAGACAGCAAACAATTAATGCCGGACTACTTTTTCCACATTGCTAAGGGTTTTGGAGACTTCCAACATGTCCCCCTTAAACTGTCTCTTTGCCATGTTGAACAGTAGCCCCCGCCTACTCATCCAACTTACACTGCAGCAGCAGAGTATTTTCCCTTTTCTTATGTATTTCTTTCCCAAAAATTCCTAACAGCTGTTTTCTTTTTCAGTTTATTTGACTGTCTCTGAATATGGAACTGATATTTTTTATGAAAGGATTTTTGATAAACCCTAAGATTTCTCTTCTGAGTGGGGTAATAGTTCACATGCCATCAGTTTTGAACACGCTTCAATGTGTACAGGTCAGGGAACTCTACCTATGTCTGCCAAAGTGAAGCTTCCGGAGTGTTGTTCACGGCCATGGAGTAAGGAACGAAACAGACATGTAGCAATGTAGAGATAGTCTGAGTTTTTACAAGCTCGAATAACCCAAAGAAAAAACTGGATTAAAGATAGACACAACATTTTGACGGGGAAAGTGATAAACCATGAGAATAATTTCAGATAAACTTTCCCCTGGAAGTTTCAGTCAAGATTAGAAGTTTCCTCAAAACATGTGGAAGGTTCCAAGGAGACCTTATAGCAGCCTTCCAGTTCTTGAAGGGGGCCTACAGGAAAGATGGGGAGGGACTCTTTATCAGGGAGTGTGATGATGGCACAAGGGGTAATGGTTTTAAACTGGAAGTGGGTAGATTTAGATGAGATGTAATGAAGAAATTCATTACTGTGAGGATGATGAGGCAGTGGCACAGGTTACCCAGAGAAGCTATGGATGCCCCATCCCTGGAAGTGTTCAAGGCCAGGCTGGATGGGGCTTTGAGCAACCTGGTCTGGTGGAAGGTGTCCCTGCCCATGGCAGGGGGGTTGGAATGACATGGTCTTTAAGGTCCCTTCCAACCCGAACCGTTCTGTGATTCTGTGATCTGTCCTCAATGAGAGAAACTTTCCAAGCATGGACTCCATGACCAGGGAGCCTGAACTCTTGCTATTAATTGAGGAAGCTGTACCCCTGCTTCCATCTCATTCATTTTAGGTGTCATCTGAATAAGCAGCATAATCCTATAAATGTCCTTGCATTTCCTTTTTGAAGATATGCAGAGCAAAAGAGACCAATAGGTGGATGTAAATCTTATATTCACTTTGGGGCATTGGAAATCACTGCATGACAGAACTAAGTGCAAACGCAGTGTTGTGCTCTCCTTTGCAGCAGACTAGAAATGATATGAATGTGTTCCTATGCACTGAACCCTGGACTAATATCCCTTTTGGGCTGTTTAGCTAAAATCTGGTACTTCACTGACCATATCTCCAGCCTTTGGTTCAGAAAGAAAGAACATCTAACTGAAAGAAAGAGTACCAATATGCCCAAAGACTATCAAGAAGATGCAAAGACCAAAAAAAAAGTACGAACGTAGAAAAGCAGATGAGAATAAACAAATAAGAAATCTGAAGGAGAGCATACTTCCCCTCTCAATCAAGCCATGCATGATTTATTCCTAGCTTCTTAGAATTAGTATATACAAGGGTTAGCAGCAGGAAATTTATCACTCAATCACTATAGCACTTTCTCTGTATGACTGGTTGACTTTTTTTTTTTTGGTAAGTGAATGTAGTGCTTGTGAAATATGCCAGACTGACACTCTGGGAACTAAATTCCTCTGTTTATTCACGGATCATGCACAGGATGCAGTAAGCCTGCTAGAGAGCCAACATTTTGATGTTGCCATAGCATTCCCACAGAACATCATTGCTGCTAGAAGTAAGTCCAGGATTACTCAAACTAGATGGGACCAAATTACCTTCAGTTTTAACTCTCTCAAAGCTCCACAATATTTGCACAACCAGTTTCAAGTGGCATAGCGACTGGTAAAATAGGAAAGCATAAAGAGAGCTAGTTGCACTTTCAGTGGAATCTGAATCATTTCGTTAGCAGCCTCAGTCCAACGAAACCTGTTTTAAACAACACTGAAAACATGGTTTGTGAGAACCAAGAGCACAGATTGTGCCTGCAAGAGGGGGAAAAAAAGTGTCCTAAAGCCAGGGATTTCTAGAATGGTGCAATGCCATGAAGATATAATTGAATTAGTTGCAAAAGAGTTATCTCAGGAACTAAAAGCAGAAAACTATGTCAGCTCTGCAGTATCACATAAGTACGTGAGCTTGTCTTGAGCAAAATCCAGTGTTGTCATAAAGTGCTGTTTGTCACTGGAGCACTCACTTGTGATACTGTTGCAAAAATCCAAAATAATCCTTAGCATATTTGTTTAGGAAAAAATACATATATGAAGCATGTAGAAAGAGGACAATGATTTTACTTCTGCACACAGAAATGGTAAGAGCTGATTTACTTTTCACATTTCAAAGACATGGAATTTCTAGAGATCTGAGAAACCCTGTGTTTTACTTTACTGAAGACATGGCTGAGAGATGGCTTGAGTCCTTGCAGTAGGTGCATATGTATAGAAAAAATACCTGAGAGCTTTTTAACCTTACAATGAAAGGCAAAACAAACTCCAGTAATTGTAAATTGAAGTTAGACAAATTAACCTTCTGACATGAAAACAGATCCTCTCTCTGTGAGAGTAATTACGTATTGGAGCATGTCAGTCTGATATCTGAAGATAATACAAAGATGCCTGTGAAAAGATACCTGACAAGGAGGCCAGATAGGCTCCTAAGCAAAGTAGGTCAATCACAGTGAAGTCATACTTAGATATCCCTCATGTCCAAAGTGACATCACTTATTTTGATTAGTATGAGAGCAACCCATTGCTCACAACTTCTCAAATGGGTATTTCCATGCCAGTACTCCACCCAGGCTAACGTTTAATTCAAAAATATAGGTGCCATTACCTAGTCTCAAAAAGGCACACAAAATCTACAGTCAGTTCAAGTCTGAGATCAACAGAAGCATCCATTAAAGGCCACCGTGGTCTGATCCTATTGCCCTTGTGAGGGAGTGAACCCATTTCAAACCAATATCTGATTCTTTTTTTTAAAAGGATTAATTTTCTTTTTCAGCTACTGTGGAAAAAAAATCTTAAAAAGGGACAAAAAAGAAGAATACTGTTTTGAAGGCTAGTTCAAATAAATGTTGCAGGACTTACTGTGATGAATACAGTTATCTAGGAATTTGATAAGACAATGTTATATAAACAATGAACTTACACAGGAAAGAAATAACGTGCTGACAAAGAGCCCTGAGTTTCTTAGGAAAAATGTTAACTTTTTCATTAATTAACTAGTTTATTTGTAAACTGTGGGCAAATTAAATATGTACTGAAAGAGTAAGAAGTGCTGTAATTCATGCGTGAATACACTGTTGTTCGCACGTAATAAAGTAGTTATATCCTTGCTTCCAGTTCAAAATCAATTTTAAGCCCTAAATTTGGAACCGTCCTTAGGAATCACCTAGCCACACTTCCACAATGATATTTTATAAATATTTAAACTTTATAGTGCAATTTTTGCACAACTATCAATTACTTTAGTACACACTGAGAAGTGATATACCATACAAACGAAGGACTTCATTATTTAACATCTGGTTTGCTACTGCCTCTTCCAAACGCACGGTAGAGTGTTAGCCCTAAATATAACAATACATGGCAGGTAATTAAATCCTCATCCTAAATAAGTTATCTACATGCAAACTTTGGGTCTTGTACAGTTCCAGTGTTAGACTGTCCTTGCTCATTATATGACATGGTTTATGCTTCAGCTGCCTCTGTGGAAAGACAAAGTCAGGTTCCAGTGATGTTAACATGAAATCTGTCACAGATAAGATAAAAAACCCCATGATTTTAAGAGAGTGAAGGCTGAGGACACTGACCAATCTGCAGTAGTTGAAGAAGTCAGTACAAAATTTGAGATGTATTACACAACACCAGGTCAGGCAAGACAGAGAAGCTGTTATTATGAACAATTTTTCGAAGGTAACTTTATTCCTTTTTAAGACAAAACCACTGTGTTTCAGGAATCCACTGTGATAACATTGACAACGCTGTGACCATTGTCAGGAAGAAAAAAGAACGGTGGCCAAGAGTGCTGTTTCCAGATGCATGTAGTTA